TGGTAGCAATGTCCGGTGTTCATGTTAAGACTAAGTGCATTATGGTGTGTATAGTGTAATAACCAAGATTGTGAAATACAATGTTTACCCACACACTACAGAGAAATAGTTATCTCTGGGAGAATATCCAAGAAACTAGTAAGAATGGCTGGATCCAGGGGGTGGCATCTGTGGCTCACAGGAGCAGGGAGCTGGCCCCATATATCGGAGGTGGTGGGTTCAAACCCAGCCCCGGCCAAAAAAAAAAAAAGAACGGCTGTATCTAGGGAGCGGATAGAAGAAAATTTATTTTCCTTCTTGCACTTTCTGAATTTTGCATTCTGTGCCAGTATTACCTGTGTGTGTGTAAAGAGGTCTGCTCATCTCCAAACTCTTCTCTCATCTTCCTTTGTCAAGAGCTACATTTGCAAAGAGAGGCGTGAGCCTTGACTTTCCCCCACTTAGAAGTATCCATTGAGCGCCACTGTCTACATTGCAACCTGGTGATGGGGTTAAAGCCCAGGCTCTGAGACACCTCTATCCAATGACTGGATGACACAGGGCTTGAAAGCCAGGGTCCCTTGTCCCAACCTGGAAGGTCTCTGAAGGACCATCCCAGCTCAGAGTGTCCCTTTGGTGAGGATGGCACTGTAGGCCAACTCCTGCCTCTGTGCCGTCCTGTTCCTTTCCTTCTCCTCTAAACCTCCCATTCCCCTTTCATCTGAGCCCACCTCTCAGAGAAGCTGACTGGCAACACTCAGCCATCTCATGCAGACAGTGGGATAATTACAGTGGTCGTGGGGGACATGACTTTTATTTGAAAAGTGCTTAGAACCAGATGGTGTATAGCAAATGTTCACTGTTGGCCGTTGGAGGATGGAGTCAAATCTAATATACACACCAGCTCTGTGCTGGGCGTCTCTGATCTTATTGTTAACTCTTCTGTTCACACACTTTATACCGAAACCAAACTGGCACAGGGTCCTGCATCCGATACCCCTGTCTACACTTTCTCATCCCTGGGGCTCTTCTTCCTCCTGGAGGGCTGTCCTCCCCAGCTCTCTCTGGCAATCTCAGAAGCCCTCTGCAGGTCCCCCCTTCACACTCTTTCCCTCAGGGTCTCCGTCTGGATGTAGTGCGCCCCACCCCCAGTCTGCCTCGCTCTGTAGCTGTGCACACAGTGCTTGCCGAGCACCCCACAGCACCGGGGAGAACACCCACCCGGGACAGACTGCAAGCTCCTTAAGGCCTAGTCATGTTGGTCTTTGTATCCTTACTGCCCTGGCCAAATATAAAAAAAAAAGTCAAGTGAATGTTCCAAAAATACCTGTCGTTTACTAAGTAGCTCTGGGCTCCTGGGGACACCGCTGTTGTGGGGAGACCATGCATGCAACACTGCCCTCTTCTGGCCAAAATGAGACCCCCTCAATTTGAGAAGGTGGGCACAGGAGATGCCTGGGAAATACTCCATAGTATTGCATGGTATTTCTGTTGCACGTGGATGATACTAGCTATATATAATAACTTAGGGTTTGATATGTCCAAGCACTAGCCTACTCACTTTATACGCATCCTCTCACTGAGTCATGGCCTTTCTATCAGTGATGCTAGGTCTTCCAACCCGGGCCAGAATAAAAAAGTCCAAAAACCCATTAAAACAAGGGGATTGGGTGTTTGCATGGCTGCTTGTGCCAATTTTGAAAGGACAGACTGCAGCAGTGTACTGGAACACAGCAAAGAGGGCTCACACGCATGCTTTATGGCATTCTTCAATAGCTGCTTTCAAAAATAATAAAAACATAGTGGCATAGTGGGCCATGAGTAATCACCTGGTAGTAGAGATTGGAGACACCAGTGGTCTTCCTAGCCAGCCCTCTGGTTATGGGGCAGAGCTAGAGGATGACCTTCACCTCTTGCAAGGCTAATAGCCAAACCAAGAGGAAGAATTTGATGATGCCCTGAAGAAAGCAAGATGGGATAGAGGAATGTCCAGTTTGTCTCCAGCGGGGAGGAGGGAGGCATCATTATGATTGAAATGACACCTTCCCCATCAAGGCCGAGTATGGAAGGAAGGATGGGATGGGTGGAGGGCCTCAGTGAATATGGTGTCCTTGGTCCTCACCACCTGTCTTTAACATGGGTGGGGTCAAGTAGGAGCAAAAGGATGTTACAGAATTCTAGTAACTTGTCCAATGTAACAACAACACAGCCATAACCCAGGACTCCTGCAGCAGAGCGGGCTATGCCTCCAAGTAGGAAGAGCCTAGGTGTGTGATACTTTTTAAAATTTCACAGTAAGGAGGTACACGGGTTTTGGTTACATAATTTGTTCTTGAACAGAGTGAGTCTAAGTTATAAGTATGTCCTTCACCTAGCTAGTGTCCACTGTACCAGTTCAGCTTGGGTGATTGTTTTTAAGAAAGCAAGAATTTCTCAAGGAGAGCTGTGCTTTCAAATATGTGTATTTCTTTAAGAAACTCCCCCTTTTCTGGAATGCTTTCCAAATGAAACAGATCTCTTAAAAATGTAGAGACACCCTATTTGCTCATTTTAGTTTTTAACAGAGAAGAGGAGGGGAAAGGCCTGGCTGAGCTGAAACAGCCAGTTTCTTTGAAGAAGAACCAAATAGAAGCAGTCGTACAGGGCAGCCCCAAGGTGACAGGTTCCTAACGGGCAGGCCCCCATTCAGTCCCACGTCGCCCCAGTCCCCATGCACTGAGGCAGAGAAATCACTGGCCTGCCAGATGCTCAGGCACCTCGGGCATTCTCCTGCCGCCGTGGAGTTTTTCTCTGGAAGTTTCCATGTGGCCAACAGAATTCCTGCCCCATGGCGGTTGGGAAAATTGCCATAGCACACATAGCCTGCTCTTTTATTTTCAAAAAGACAAAAGTTAGGCTGGGATAACCATTCTCCTTCGTCTTTAAAAATAACTCTTTAAAACTATAAAAGCAAAGCATGCTGATGGTAGAAATACTTTTTTAAAAAAGGAGGAATATTGGTGTCAGCTATGATTTGAATGGAGGTTAGCCACTGCTGATGTTTTAATTTATTTCTTCCTACTATTGTTTCTATGGACTTAGAGATGTAAAATTATATATATATATATATATACACACATCTCTCT